GGGACGCCATAAATGACGACCCGTTCCGTCTTGTTGAAGGTGGACATGGCAGAGTCCACCTTCATCCCACACAGTGCGGTTTGGTTGGCAGCATAAACCGCATCTGCCAGGAACTCAAAGTTCAGCCGCACGTTGCCGTTGGCCAGGACTTTGACCTCCGGAAGAGAGCTATACTTCCACTCTTTCCGGATGAAGTCGCCGATGACCTTCGACTTCGTGCTGCCGAAAGTTTTGCCCCCGCTTGGCTTCACTATTACAATGTTGGAGAACTCCGGCCTTGCTACCCTGGGTTGCATGGTAGCAGCTGGCCGACTCGCAACATCGGCATAGCTAACCTTGGTGGATTGTTGGGAGGCCATTTTAGCTGAAAATGAAGGTTTGATTAGTGCAAGTATAAAATATAAAATACAATACAATAAGACAGATAAGATATAGCTATCAAGAATGCCTTGCAGACTGTGCAAAAATTGATAGTATGAAAATGAAAAGAGAACAACGAAACAAAACGAAACCTAGTGAAAGCTTTGTAGGACAGCTTGAATTTCTTCCGCCAAAGAAATTGTCGGCCGCCCAAAGAAAAGATAAAAGAAAAGAATAAAAAGGAACGAACTCACAAATTAGTGGCAGGTGTCAAAAGTTAATTGAGTTATACTTAATTAATACTTGACAGTAATCCGCTAATCCAATTTCACCAATCCAGACTAGAGAGAGAGCTAATTAGTTGTTCACAGTACGAGTGTCGAACTAATTGTGGTGATCGTAGTGAACACGCGCGAAATTTTCCTTTTATACTCGAAAATGGAGTCGAAAAATAGGATCGAAAGCTTTTCTCGTGAAATAGCGCGGACTTGATAGTGAGCACCGTAGTTTTCGACTCCATTTTCGAGTATAAATAGTGTTTTTAGTCGTCGCGTTCGCTTCATTCAGTTACTAGACTTTCGCACGACGACACCGTCTCACTAACTAAATTCACATCATGTCTGGACGAGGAAAAGGAGGAAAAGTAAAGGGAAAGAGCAAGACCCGATCATCCCGGGCTGGATTACAGTTCCCTGTCGGTCGTATCCACCGTCTGTTGAGAAAGGGAAACTATGCCGAGCGAGTCGGAGCTGGTGCCCCAGTCTACTTAGCCGCTGTTTTGGATATTTGGCTGCTGAAGTTCTCGAGTTGGC